GACTTTCATATCTATTTATTTATTTATTTTTTAGGAGGGTATTTTTGTCTTTTTTACCAAAGATCCTAGCTGTTTGTTTGGGCTCCTTAAAATTTTCCAGAACTATTTGTGTATATCTCTGGTTACTCCTACGTACTTGTTTATGTTTTGTTAATGTCATACAACGATATTGTTGTTCTCCCCTCAACAACTTTTCCTTCATCTCTTCTCTCTTTTGCTGTTGCGATGCAAGGATTCGGAGGTTATTTGCATCAATATTGTTTGGTTGGCACACATCAAGTTTGACTTTTGTGACCTAGGGGGTTGGCTGTCGTGTCACATCTACTGAGCTTGATGGAGTCGTATTACTGGTGTCATCTCCCTGGTATTATTTTAGGGATGCGCTAATGTGATTTCTGCCTGTATTAAATCTGATGGTACAAGTTTTGAGACATTCCTGAAAATTCTAGGAGTGAAACTCAAGAGATGTGAGGGGGGTCGATGCAGATAGAGGTATCCCCTGACCATTTTGAAATGAGGGGGTTGGGGGTTTTGGATCCAAAACTTATTCAAAAGAATTCGAACAAAGGCCCCACTACCCTAAAATGTATGTACAATTTCAAACTTGCCAATGGGGTAACAAAAAAAAATGAAAAAATACAAGTCCTCCCCCCCCCCCTCTCTCTCTCTCTCTCTTTCTCTCTCTATCTATCTCTCTCTCTTCTCTCTCTCTCTCTCTCTCTTTCTCTCTATCCTGCCGTCTCTCCTCCATCTCTAAAGACATCCTCCATCTAAACACCATCCTCCCATTCCACAGATCAGGATGATGCCTCCAAGTCCAATGTGGCATTATATATCCTCCCATGCATACATGTATAAATCACACCACCAATGATGCACTCCGAGGGATACGATACCGGTATCATACATTGGTCCTCCATCACAGCACAATCTCACACACATACACATGTACAAGTAGGTTTGTATGACCCAGTAACTCAATAGAGGACACCAATAGGACCTTCGTTGTGCGATATTTCTTGCCGAACCCAAGTGTTGCATTGCTTGCCTACGGTTTCAAAGCGAAAGGAATTCGTTCAAGGGATGTGACTCTGACGTCCCACCCCCTCTCACCCCCCTCCCACCCCCTCTCACCCCCCCCCCCCCCACCACCACCAATACCTTTCTGTCTTTTGACCTAAGTACATGTTTTTATGGCACCAATTTCATTTCAATCTGAAATATAGAGTTATGTGTTTTTATTAAATGTATTAATTCTATTTCAGAATACAAACATGATTTATGTATATCTCACTTTCTAATTAGAAAAGAAATTCTCTACAGTATATGTAAGTAAATAAATAAGCCAAAATTATCTTTCTGGTGCAATACATATGTTTACATAAAAGAAAGTCAATTGCCCATTGAAACCTTCCTTTTTTTAATCAAATCAAACCCTGTTTTTGTTTTTGTTTCAAACATCAAAGATCAGAAACACCCGTAATCAATTTGTGACAAACATACGGGCCTGCCTGTACTTTTTCACAATGGTCATGACTAAATTGCGTTATATATCTACTGTGGTGGTAAGATAGTAAGTAGTAACGGCATTAAAGGCAGAATAATCAATTCACAATCGGCACCTCTGTACTCGTTATGATAACATCTAAGACTGATATTTGTTTTTCTGATGGGCGAAACAAAAAATAAAGAGTGCCTTCTCGATCTAGCTGAACTAAGATGCCGCAGAACGATTGGAAGCTTTCAAATGTGAAAGACCCCCGGGCTGTTTGTGATATGCAGCCAGTCATGAATTTTGATGGGGCAGTAAAAATAACGCCAGTTCAGGAAGCACAAGCCCTTCTCCCACTAAAACGTCCCTGGTCTGAAATTTAAACGTATCGCTTCCAATACTGCAGATGATACTATAGAGACTAACTGGGAAAGAAGTTGTCTACTAATATGCATTAGAATTGATTACTCTTCAGTTTTAAATGAGGTACTCAATAGATTTGTCCACTGCTTAAACAGTGACAAGAGAGTTTATTCGCCTTGTCTGAATAAAGCTTTTTTATTACATCATTAATATTCTTTGCTTTCTCAGATAAGCCTTCAGCAATCTTCTAAGGTACATGCCGTCTAAGAAATTTTTATTGACAGCAATCGTTAAATGGATGCTCAAAAAAATTGATACCCGAGGATTGGCCAATACACATCAGATGCGTTCCCACTAGCTTTCTTCAAGTGTGAAATTATGCGAGTGTGAATGAGGCTAATACAGCCATCAGGAGCAATAGGAATTATGCATGGGGTAATCAATTCCCCCCTGAGACTCCACAGGGGGTGGAAAGAAAGGTGTGTATAGGACTGTAGATAGTGGGTCAATAATACATGAGGGGTACATCTAGAGACACCAAGCAGACTTGAATATCTGCTAGAGACAAATGCAAGGTTACAAATGATTTCAACTCAATTATTTACAGGTATGCATGCCTCAATAGGTATGTCCTCATCAGCTCGAGATTGCAAAATAGCCCGCTATTTCTGATTTGGGAAATAATCCAGAAGTTACAAATCGCGTCCTCATCAGCTCGAGACTCGACCTCAAAAATTGAAACCCGAGCTCGGGAAATTAGCTTGAGATGTTTCGCTCAGCGTTCGCGCTAGTGCGAGTCTTCGGGCTGGTGAAGATGCACCGGACAAATAGCGGGATATTTTGCAAACTAGCCCAAGATATCTTGGGATTATTATCTTGACCAAATATCCCGCTAATTGCAATCTCGGGCTGATGAAGACAGGCCTATTGCAAATTCAATATTGTATAATGGAAACTTTTTTATAAAAGATAATATACTGACTAAAAGGTTAGTTTTAGGACTGAATGAGCAAACTAACAACAACATTAAATATTTCTTCCAAAATATACAAAATTTGTGGACTGTGGGAAGTTTTCTTTTGTATCAATGCAAAGGAATATATGAGGAACATGCTGGTAAGATGGCTCATTCAATTAGCTTTCAATAATGATGATAGAGGATGGGGATGGAATCCTTACACAATATACTTAGTCAGACAAAGCATTTTATCTTCAGTCGCCTCTCTGAACCCAGGTGAAGTGAACCTCTCTTATTATCATATTTACTGTTTTATCTGAATAGGGCTACCTCTTTTTTTAAACAAACTGTTATCACTGAGAGCTCGATGTATATGTAAGAGTGGTGACTGAATGAGTCGATCACAAATTCTCCACTCATTGGATTTTGTATTAACTAGCCATTGACCGGGACTTCAATTTTGATTTGATCAATTTTGACGCTTTATAAAGGTACATGTAGGGGCCCAAGTAGGATTTATTCCTTGAAATGCACTGCACACTCGTAATGGATTTCAGAGCTAGAATGCAGGGTAATAACATTGAATGCACTGCGGAAGTGCAAAGAGATGTAGCATAATGTGCTTTATACACAGAAATTGAATATCATTATTTCTGTGGTCAATCATAATATCCCACGCTTCATTCCAAAACTCAATAGCAATACCATTTATGTAAAGTAACAATTCTATTCGAGTAGGAATGTACCGTAAATCTCCAGGTATAAGGCGCACTTTTTTGCCGCCGAAAAAAATGGAAAGTCGGGGGTGCGTCATATACACGGGTACAGAATTTTTTAGTTTTTTTTTTAGTTTTTTTTTTAGTTTCGATTTATGGTGCTATGCCTGGCAATGTCTCCAAGCTCAGTAATCAGTGTGTTGACTCACCACTCGGTAACTACGACAACACTCAAATTTGTCTGTCATTTTGGTTTGAAAGTAATCTTTCTAATAGATCTCAATATGTAGTTTAAAATAATAATTTCTCTAATTTTTTTTCTATAACAAATAGTGTACCACAAGGTTCTATCCTAGGACCTAGGTACTCTATTGTTTTTAATTTACATTAATGATCTTACACATTCATCTAAAAACGACATTGTTACTATTATTTGTGACAAGTTCACAAGACAAATCAGCGCCTTCAACTACACCTCGATGTTAAATGAAGGTTCTTCCCCCCGTGGGTTTTCGGCAACAAAACAACAGCAAACAACGGGGTGCGCCTTATACACAGGTGCGCCTTATACACTGAGATTTACGGTAGTATTTTAAAGCGTTGTTTAGCGAGACAGAGGCTTGGGCATCAATTTGAATGACATAATCTCACACAGAAGCAGAGTTGACTTGTCTAGCATCGTTTAGCACAAGAATTGTACACAACCATGCACTCTTCTCCACTCCTAAACAATTTTGTAGTGTCCCTGACGTCTTATTAACATGATATGAATCTTGTGTAAACACCTCTAACACGAAATGCTGGGTTCGACACTAACAGGCACCAAAGACACACAGGGCCCTAATGTCTAACTCTGGAACCTATCAATTTTCGTATTTGATCAAGAGGCTGATGCATGAAGACCCTAAAGTGTCCACATGGATATGCCCTACAAAATGGAAGAGTTCATGGAACACTCCTCCCGGTTTTGGCATACCGTATGGCGTATGTGTCTTTGTGTTAAGGATTTTTTTCTTTTCTTTCTAGAAATGAAAGTCCTCTCAAATGAAAATGGCTGTGCAATGGATAAACTCCTGAGAGATGGTGATTGGACAGATCGATGCTCTGGCACCAATTGATCTGAGTTTTATTTTTATTTTTTAAATGTAAGATTAGAGCATGGGCTGCATTCAGGTTTTATATTGGGTTTATGGTTAGGGTTAGGGTTAAGGTTAAAATTAAGGTTGGGTTAGGTTTACGGTTGAGATAGAGGTGGGGATTATGGCTACAGTTGGCTATAAATTCAAGACAGTCAAAGGTAAGATCAGTTTTGTTTTGTTTAAACCTTGGAGCAATCATCGTTTTAGATAGGGTTAGGTTCAAAGTAGAAACAGTGTAAGCATTAGAAATTGACTGCAGAGCAATTCGCTTGAGCAACTGTCGCCGGAGTATGTTTCGTAGAATTGCGGATGCGTCTAGTTTTGTGTCTTACCTGCCAATATCCTGCGGTAGACTCTCAAGGGAGACATCATTCAGGGTCAGATGTCTCAGATCATGGAGCTGTGTGAAGCCTGGTGGTAATCTAAGAGTACACAAGGGGGAAAATATAAAAGATTTATTAACTAGTGAATAAAAAATTCAAATGAACAGAGAAAGATTCAGCTCCAAAAAGCACCAAAAAATCTCTTGTAAGAATTTTAAAAATAAATAATACATACCGGTATGCAATTACTGTGAGGAACTGTCACATTTAACAATGTAAATTAACAAAAGTAGCTCCTGTTATTAAAGAAAATAAGGAAATGTTTACACTGTCATTAACCAAAAAATGTGTGCAGAGTTCTTAGATGATATAAAAGATGTAATTTCAAAAAATATAAACATTAGCAAATGAACAACAGAGAAATAAAAAAGGATGATCAGCAATGTGTACTTTACTTCTTGGTATGACAGACATTTATTTTGAGAAGAACTGTGTACTTTTGATATACAAGTAAGTCTGATGTCTCAAACTGGTATATTTTTGCTGTTTATTTGTGATACAAACGAAAAATATGGTGCTCAGTATCCTTTTTGATAGGTAGGCTTTATTACACCCTTCACTAATGTCTCCTTGTCAAATACCATTATTTTTTGCCTTCATCTGTATCTGAACTGATAGAATACTGCTGTTCTACGTCATGTCCAAATGTACACAAAACATTTTATCAATGCCATATGTACTCAGTATAGGGCACATATCCTCTGAAGGGAATGATGTAGAGATAAGGAGAGAGCAGTAGAGGAGAGGAAGAGTGAGAGAGTGAGAGAGGAGATGAAGAGAGAGAGAGAGATACAGAGAGAGATAGAGAGAGAGAGCGATAGAGAGATAGAGAGATAGAGAGAGGGATCTCACTTTGATCAATATCTTTGAGGGGAAATTAGAGTTTGCGTCAGTACAGGTTTTTCGGATATGCATGCACGCACTACCCATGCACCTCTAATACACGTTACATGTATGTCGTCCCATAGTCCCCGTGCAGAAATTGATATTTTGCTCAGATCCATATGCTTGATCGGCGCAGTAAGCTACTACCATACTCACTAATACGTGACTGTATACACTAATGAATGGCCTGCCTTTTCCAATTTAGGTTTGATTTAAAAGCAGGGATGGAATGGGGACATTATCTCTAAATGAAGCTAGCGTTAAGGTAGTTGCAATATGTTTGACTTACAGATACATGTAAATGTATGATTCGAAGAGCAACTATAGAGAATTCATGGAAAGGGTGATGTGTGCATACATGTAGTTCTCCAAATATACTGTCAATACCTTTTCACAATAAAAAAGGAAAATAAACAATAGAGATATACCTAAGGATCATCTCACTATAATTTTTGCCCATACTAACTTGTATTTCATTATTGTAGTGATTTTGTGCACTTTTCACCTTTGTTATGTTGAAGTGTTGGGGTGCGGGGGAGAGAGAGAGAGAGAGAGAGAATCTAATATATTTTCTTTCCTGTGTGCAATGATCATGTGAGTATCATCACATGTTGAAAAATGAATAACAAATTTGTAATAGATTTTTTTATATATACATGAATTATACAAAAACAAAAGTCAGAAATGTCTCTGTATGAATTGTTTGAAGGTACAACCCCTGTGTATATTCAGGCTAACTGCATTTAAGAAGTTTGTCATCTTTGTCAGTAATCAAATGACAAATACCATCAATAGTTCAAAATATTTAGGACATATACATAGGCCCATTTACATAGCCCCAAAAAGTATTTTGAAAAATCATTGGGTGTGTTTTTATAACGGAAAAACCCATGAAAAAAACATTGGTGTTTGCTTATTCTGTTTTAGGGGTTTCGGGTGAGTTTTAACTCCCAAACTTTTGGTGGCTTTAACTTCCAAACAATATAACCAAATCTATTTAAAATAAATACAACTTATCATTTAACTCAGGCTCTTCAATACATGTGACTTTATGTTCATAATCTACCAACCTTAGCTCTCATTTACATGACTAATGCTACAGGTACATGCACATATTCATGAGAATCCCACTAACAGTTGCTATTAACTTCATCAAACACAACTCAAGAATGTACTCATTTTGCATGACTAACGGTAAAGGCATAGGAAGGGGTATCTCACTCTGAGAGAGATACAGGAACCAGTCTATTAGTCAGTTTCCTCTATTACCGCCTCAAAAAATCCCCCTCCCACATAATTTTGTGCTATGGTCTAGATAAGACGCAGTGCAGGTTTTGCAGGGAATAGATAGAATAAAAATATTACCCCCCTCGCACATTTGTGCCATGGTCTAGTTGAGACGCGATGTAGGTTAGGGAAAAGATCACATAAAATAGTGTGCAAAAAAAAAAAAAAAAAAAAAACTCCCACATTTGTGGTATGGTCTAGTTAAAGCCCCTCTAAAAGTGTTGGGAGCCTCAAAAATTTAGGTTTTCTGCGTACAACAGAAAACCCACATTATGTATTCTTAATTTCTTATATCAAAATTTGTCTTCAAACACTTTTGTTTGGTTTTTTTTTTAGGGGGGAGAATCTTTGCAAAAGATTGTCTTAAATGACATCCTCTTTCACGTATTTGTGGCTCCTAATGCTTTAGAGGGGCAAGAAGATGCAACACGGATTGGGAGGGGGGAATAAAAGCCTGTACGCACCTCCAATGTATAAAGAACAAATTAATTCCTTCAGGTGAACTTTCCTCACTACTATCCCTTTTTTTCTATAGGATGGCTGGCCCAAGGGTCAGTAGAAAATTGAATTTGTTGTCTTCCCCTGCATACAAAATTTGATTATTTCTTGCAAATTATCAAGCATGACCAAGAGCAAAGTGGGTCAATACACATCTGGAAGATTATATTCCCAAATCCACAAAGCAATCAGTTTTTTCTGATCGTGTACATACTGTCAACATGTCCACTTCTCTTACAAAACAGTTACTCAGCTATGCTCAGTGCAACTACATTTATTTATTTATTTATTTATTTATTCCGTTTTATTTAAACAGGGTCGCCCCGTCAGTAATCACAGTACTGTTTTCCAGGGGGCCCTACATGATAATAATGCATTAATTTAGTCTAGGTATTTAAATTCTTCTTTTTATTATCATATTGCACACTATATTGGCAGTTGTATTTTTAAAGTTTATGCTTGTGATAAAGATTTTGTGAAAGATTACTTCCCCCCCCCCCCTCTCTCTCTCTCTCTCTCTAAGAAAAAAACATTGAAATCACATTCTTGACAGACACCCACAACAACATACTTCTTAGATCACTTTCTACATGTTTCTTTACAACTTCAGCACTTCAGAAACAACTTCCCACTCTATTCTTCTACTTTCTGACTGTTGAACTTCAAAATGTTGCGTAAATAAGAAAGAAAAATGTCAACAAGACTAGACTTCGCTAAAATAATATGTAAATTTATATATTGTACTTATCTCCCATTTCAAACTAAGATTTTGTGTCATCTCACTCGTAACTTTTTACCTACAGGCTTTGATCGCACTACAAAGATATGAACCATACGATTCCTTTTGTTTCTGACTTTTGCAAATAAGGTAGTTTTTGTCTGCTTGGTGTTTTATATCACTCATTTAAATTCATGCCAAGGGATCCATTTCTCTTGACTTCTAGATAAACAAACATGTTTCACGTCACACTATCTATTTTATCTAATCAAGCAAAAATATCAAATTCAGCACACAACATTAGCTGCATTTACACTGCACGCAAAAATCATTGATTTTTCAAACATTTGGGGGGCGTTTCACAAAACGTGTCATCAGTGACAAACGACAGTTTTTGTTATAAGCTACTGAAATTCTTGCTTCTGATTGGTTATCTGTATATTTGTCACTGATTTTTTTTGTCATTGAAAATTTTGTCGGTAGTTACATAACTAACAGCAAACATGACAGAAAAAACGAAATAGAAAAATTCACCTCTGGATTGTGTTTTTTTTAAACGCCTGCCGAAATTTCACACACTTTTGCAGTGTAAATGCCTGCTCTCGAAATTTTGGTAAGATTCCATTTTTTAGTCACATGACCCTCCTTGCTCCTGTGCGATCGCATGCAGAGCAGCGACAAGCCGCGCAGGCGCGCTACTCACCACAAAAATGAAATGAGGAAACACAGATGTTTTTTAAGGGTTTTTTCAGTAGTGTAAATGTAGTCAAACAAATTAATTTTTTTTCGAAATGGGCTGTGTAAATGGGCCTTCTCTAATCAAATGGCGTCGCCTCAAAATAACGCACAAGTCCCTAGGGCTTAAACAATATTTAATAAAGTCAATTTCTGTAATTGTATACACATCCCCTCTAAACATAGAATCACTTCCACACGCGTTACCTTTGTATTGTGCACACAAAAAAAGGTGTATCTTAAGTATAAAGAGATACCCATCAAGTTAAATAACTGGCATTGTCATAAAGTGATGGTATTATCATTCATATAGTCATTAGATATGGCTTGTGTCTATGGCTTATTATGTATGACTGTGAAATCAATGAAAATTGATTTTCTATTTTTAAGAGGTATGGTCGCAGGCTAATGCGATCCTGCTGACGGCCTCAACGCAATCAATAATCATCATCATGTTTCAGTTTAGGTAGAAGAGGATCATTTTGGGCTGGAGTATTAATGACATCTAAAAGCTTTGCTTTGGTGTATATTACTGGCCAGTATAGATAACACCACCGTTCGATGAGTATTTTATACATTTGTCCACAAAATACAGTCATATACAAGATATTCGTTGTGCAGATTGCTTATCTACTGCTTTGTCTAATACAAGTTTACTTTTCTTCAAAAGGCAGGTGGACATTATTATCCTTGGCAAATATGAATTACTTGCATGAATATCAACAAGAAATACTGTCAAAGTGCATAGGCATCCAGTACTTTTACTTGCCCATAATCATAGTTTTAGTTGCCCTGGTATTATATCAGTAAAGTGTAGCATTTCAGGTTATAAGTCATCTGTGGATTGCCATAACTGTATTAACTCAATATAGACTACTACTAGTTAACACCAGAGACCCACAAGTTTTTAAAAAAAAACTTTCACAGGGAGCTAATTTTTAGTTACCCTAAAAATTCAGTCCAGACTGACATGAAAGGGTTTGTGTACAGCCTAGAATTCCACCTACTGAAGATGGTCATCATACTCTACATGTGGCATAAATCTTGTAAAGAACACAGTACCCTTAAACTCAATTCATCTGTTTGTATCCAAAAGGGCATTAACTCTGTGTAAAATGGTATGAGCTAAAGCCCTTCTGGCTCCAAACAGACATCATGTAACCAGTAGATGACCTCACACTACGTCAAACTAACAACAAATAGTCCCTCTCACCTCTCCTACACATTACACATATTTACTACGATATAAAAAAAGCTTTCACAGTCTTACGTCCGTTCGGCTAAAATACATCTTGATCTGCGTTTCAATCTACTTTGAAACGCTTTGTATCTGGGGCAGACTCCAGATAAACCCCCTTGATATACTTTGCCAGAAAATGGGCTGTTGATAGCGACACATGCTCAGCATACACTCTAAAATGGGCATGGAAATAGGAACCACTCAGGATGCCTTCCATTTAGTTTTTTCTTTTTCTTTTTTTTTCTCCTTCTTAGCTGTTAGTGGGACAATCCCCATTAGCCTTGATTCCAAACAGGTTCAAACCAACCAACCTTCCGACTGAATAAAATACGTCTTTCAATTTGGATGAAAAGATGGACATGGGGGAAATCTTTCTTTTTTTTCCTGGAAATCCAGACTCCGCAAGTTCAAATTGGTCTGGCTCTTGCCTTCTATAAAACCGAAAACATTTAATCTGTTTAAGGGGCCAGAAAAAAGCCATGAATGCTCTTCTACATGTCGTAGTTCTCGGCATACAATTAATTTTTCACCTTCCCATCTTTGATTCGACTTGAAATTTCAATTTGACTCCAGCGAAGTGTTATTCTAACCTTTCAATTAATTCAAATTGTTATTTCAATGTGATTAGAAGTGTGGAATGTAAACTTAGCTGAAATTCAAGCTAATTTGTATTTGTTTATTTAATGATTTTCCACTTAAAACATTTGATTGTTGCGGCAAGTACAATTGCAATATTTTTGTTAGGAAATTGAACAAATAAGATTATTATCACTAGTTAGAGCAAAGCATGAATTGCTTTTACCCATAACCCATATATAGAATAAAATGGGACTATACCAGCTAACATTTTCTGACTAATGTTAGAAAAAGCGGCTTTTTATATAAGTTCAAGTACATCTATGTTTTTTTAATAAAAGCAATGTTTATCTGGATAATTTCTTTTCACAAAAATCAAAAAGTCTACGTCATTAACATTCCAAAATTTCCAAGGCAAAGAGCAAACATTATTATAAAATACCTTATTTTTAATTTTCATTTTTTTCTTTCCTTTGGTGATAAACTTTAAGAACAACGTATTAAGCCAGTAGTTACGATCAATTTCAATGTCAAGGAGTAATCCAAATAATTCAATTCAACTTCTTTCTTGAAAAAAATATATCTTCTGTTTTGGAACCAGCCAGAAGGGCATTAACTGATGTACTTTTAACAAAAGTTAACGCCCTTCTGGCTCCATAAGATGACAAATATAAAACCTTGTCCAGTTATCAGTTCTGGCACAAAGTTTTTTTCTAATTTGGTCCCAAATGGATCATTACACTTTTTTATTGGGAAATCCCAGCATTAAAAATTCTTCTGCAAAACTATCATTGCAACATTCCACACATTTCACCTAATTTGTTGTTCTTGAAAGTGAAATCCCCACAAAGGGAGTGAAATCCCCACAAAGGGAGTTAATTCCTATTTACAGGCCCTTAACCCACACATAGACATCCTTCATAAAATTCCACTGTTAGTCTATACTCAACCTCGTTTTGTCTAAATTTGTAATATTTAGAGCAAATACGCAGGTCACTGTAAAAAAACTATACTCTGAACTGTAAATTCCTTCACCAGCAAATAAATACAGCTAGAATTGTAAAAACTTCCAAAAAAACAAAATCACTTGACTGGCCTTTAAACATGTTTATAATCAAATTAAAGTCAATGAAGTTTCAAAATTAGCCTTTTGAAAGGTGGAGAGTGTGTCAATACAAATATCATTGTAAACCACAACCAAACATCAGAGGTTATCAATACCTCATCTTTTCAAAGTCACAAGGGCACTGTTTACTCAGAGTCAACAATGCTTTCATTACTAGAATGACCTAATGAAAGGTCATAAAGTCAACAAAAGACTTGTTCATTAGGCCTGTTTTCATCAGCTCGAGATTGTCGAATATGCTATTTTCAGACTCAGGATATTATCCGATGCTCGAAATCGCGTCTTCACCAGATCGATACACTCATCACAAACTCGCTCAAAAAATAATCTTGAGATTAACACATGCACACTCCAGAGACCGACTGTACGACCAGCGTTCGGATTTAAGATTTTACCCGCGCTGTAATACGTAAACAAGTACCGGCTGTGAGCTGTGCATGCATGCAGCGCAGGTTAGAGCACGTGCTACAAGCTAGTCTATTTACACACAGGAAAACCGGAATTCGTTGTGCATGATGGGATCGGGATATTTGACTTCGTACTTCGGTCTGATGAGGACAGGCCTATTGGCCTTCTGGTGTTTGTAATATCTACCCATCCATGTTGACAGAGGTAAACCAAAATCCTAAATGTTACAATGATTTCTCACCTTGACAGTGGGTTTCCACTGAAATCCACAATCGTTAGAGCCTTGCAGAATTTGATGTTATCGGGTATTTCCATGATATCTGAAATGAGAAAAAGAGGAAAGGAAATGGAGATTACTAATCTAAGTTTTACATGTTTTTTTTATATTTTGTTATTGTCTTGATCTGATCAACTGTGGTAAAAGTGAATTTTGGGAAAGTTCATACATTAAAAAGCATATTAATAGATCAAACATCTTTTATCAAATAATACTCCTGAACGTGTAGTTGAAACAAGTACCAAAGAATGTAATGTACAATGTAAATATAGGCCTACAATATAGCCATAATATGAAATCAATAGTACAGTCATTCTCTATTCATGAATTATCATCATTACTTAGGTTAATACGCTCATGTACATGTAACAGGTGAAGGGGACTTCCCCAATGGGTGATAATCAATTTCAAATCTTCATCAATGTAAAGTTAAAGGTAATACAAAGTTTTGGTATGGGGTCATGAATTTGGTTTAAATGAACATATTGGAAGCATATGCGATCTTACAATATGCAGTGATCGTTGTCGCAGTTGAAATCGAGTCTAAAGTTATGAAATTGTAAATAATAAACTCTTTATGTTGTATAGCTCCCTCTCAAGGTCAAGACATTAATTAAGCTATAATTAAGGAAAGTCGCTCGTGGGCTTGATTTCCGAAGCCCACGCCAAAGCTATACACGAAATTGACTGGCGCAAATAATCTTTGAGATTGAAGAGCGCCATCTAAACGAAGAACCAACCAACCTATAAAACAATGTTTCTTGACTAAAATCGACCGGTTAGCTATTCCAGTTTGGAAATTATATATCACAACTACATATTCTGAGATTTTCATGGTCGCAGCTACCATCGTACGGCCGTAGACGCTACTTGAAATGTATATCAAAATTTACCGGGAGCACCGGTAAATTTTTATATTCAATTTTTCTCGAGAGCAGAAGTGTTTTAGGGGTTAAATTTTCTTGTGCTTATATTACATCCACAGGGGTATCCAAATACATCAAAGTTGTAAAGAATCACAATCCACCCATTTTCAAAATTTCCCAAAACTTTGTATCACCTTTAACAAAGTAAATTAAAATCCCCCTACAATGGTAATACTGATTCAAGTACAGTTTAGAACTGAGACTACGACCCCAGTGTATATGGCATTCCTAAGGTGTGAGGTCATCTGTGTTTACCCACAGCCTTCTACACATGTCAACACATCATTGCTCAAACCTTGGCCAGACATTGACATCCAACATAAACCAAAATATACATTTACTACATGCATGTAACCACCCTTGTTGTAACACAAGGAGACAAGCAAGAGCATTTGAAGGATCTTACTACCAATATACATGACTGTATGGAGTATTTGACAGTCACAGCTTATCTGTTGTACATTCTGTAGACAGTGTACATGTCCCACACATACATTTTTATGTCAGTATCATGTAAGAATGCTTGTTTAATACAGCTCGTATCACAACACATCAAAGCCTCTCTAAAGTTTTGACAATGGAAGTTTCATGGCAATTATCATGGACCAATATGTAAAACTTTACTCCATGTTTATTACATGTAGGTTAGAGAAAGCAACTGCCCCACATACATGTACATTGCATGAATACAAACATTTGTGTTATTTCCATGTACTGTAGGTACACTGTAGGTCTGTTTTTTACACAATAACTTTTGCTTTTGCAGCCTAATTCCCAGTCTGCCAATGAGACCGACACTATTAAACCAACTATAGACTGACCAAACAATAACAGTATCCTGAAGAATGCCTTGATAACGTCACTTTAGAATCCATTTGGAGGTGTGAGTGTTGTATAAGTACTAGTGTATAATGTAATATTTGTCATCCATATATTCTTCAAAAACACTTTAGTCAAATGCTCCAAAGTTCTGAAGTATCATTAGTCATAAGTAACCTTACATGTGTTGGTTCTTTGACAACTGCACACTGAGGCCACAGGTATGTGTACACCTGCACATGACTGACTTTGTACACAATACCAATGAGACAAAACAGCTCCAGATTAAAGTACATGTACATACTGTAGGTGTAAAGAGGTAATCATCAGTACCCCTGAGGTGGAAAAAAGACATGATATGAAAAGACGAGATATGAAAAGAAAGAAACCCACTGCTGATAACCTTAGGAGTACACCTGACCCCCTGGTCAAAAGTGCAATTTCATTGACATACAGCTCTGTCAACTTTGCCTCTGGCTTCCTTGTACATGGACAAGAGAGGTCAATTGACAACTCCATGTACTTCTGTGCCAGCGCTTTGTTGACAACCTACATGTACATGCATGCAGCCTAGACTTCAGAAATTCAGGTTGAGTCAGTTTGTATTCCCTGAAAGTCTGGAGGGTATAGATTTTCCCATATTTCTTATCAAGAATTCTGTAATGAAACTGCATTTTTATTATTTTTAAAAGGGTGTTAATATATTAAAACCATTCTGCATTGTTCATCATGCCAGGTGATAGCTCATTTTAAAAATAAAGTGTGGGTAAACATGAGAAAGAATTGCTGAGAAATACATGTTGAAAATGAACAACACACATAGGACAACATAGCCTACATATAGGCCTATCCTATACATGTACCAAATCAACTACATACTGTATGCTTCAAGTGAAGAACAAAAATATTAGAAACCACGTAAGTGGGGATATTTTTGTAATTTCACTGCTAATTAATTGGCAAGTTGGCATTTAGACCTACATATTTTGTATCAAATTTGGTCAATACATAATATTCTTTGTTTGTAGTCTTACCATCATGCAAATGAAAATTTGTTGATTTCTGAGAGAAATCTATTATTTTATAATGGCAAGAGCTGGATAAAATACCATTAAACATTGAAAGAGACTGGGTACAGCACACACATCTACAGGCATTTGGGACACAGTTCGATCAACATGTCTTCATATTCAAGCCATTGGGTGATTGTAAGCCCAAAGTTTAAGTGAGGGACATATAGCCACCCACATCTCATTGAAATTTACTGAAAATGATAGAGAAACCTACAGCAATGACATCATTCTACATGTTCGTTTATCATCTAGGGGGTTTTTCCCCCCGACCACCCATAAAATTTATGTACAGGTGTATGTAGTCTGTGTAGATTCTAGGTATAATCATTGCTTGATACCTGAAGTAGTTTAATTTTATTCAACAGCCGCACTGGGACTAGTATACTAGTTTCTGTTTCATATCATGTATGAATAATTTCCATGCAGCTAAAATTAGAAGGTCATGAAAGGATGTTTCATGATAATGGGGAATTATTGATCCTGTTCATGTCTTGTAACACAAAATCGAGAAGGCCATTAATTTGCAATCCACCAATAGCAAATATTTGTAAGAAAGTGCGAATCACATTATTATGGCAACAACAGCTAAATCATAAAATAAGCAGGTGTTATGAATTCCTAACCCATATTTTGTGTTGTTACATTAGTTAAGAAAAAAGAGTTTTCCAGCTGTTTGGAATCTTTGATGCGTAATCTATCTCTTTAAAAAATCAAACTGTATTTGAAGAAAAAAATCCTGCTGTATAAGGCTTTATAAATATCAGTACTGAGCAAGGACTTTAAATAATTCAGCATGGTTTACTGACAGATTTTCTCAAACTAAAATGTCAATATCACTGAATGATTCTATTTTGGGGGATTTAAATCAATAAATTTGAATTGAACTGAATTGAATTGAATCGTTCAAGATAAGTTAGAGCAAGCATACCCCCCCCCCCTCCCCATTTTTTGCCAGAGTAATTATAATTCTAAAAAACTCCTGGATATGCCATGAGTAAGTAATGGACATACTGTACATGTAGCATCTTACAAGACTCAATAGGATACTTACATGTGTCAGTCACTGCTCCTTCCCTCGCCAATCCTTGCCAATGCCCCCCCCCCCCCCCCCCACCGAAAATTAGAATAAGGGCCAGTGGGAAATGAATTTTCATTGTGCATGGGAAGATTACTGTATGTTGAGTGATGCTCGCTCTACATTCCCCCTGAACACGGACACGGACACCAGGGCAGGCCTGGATGAAATTGATCTCAGTCTTCAATTTACTTGAGGCAGAAGATTCTTCAATAGAGAAGAGCGAATATATGAGGAAAGTTCATTCTTCAGTCAACCTATCTATGGCTCGTCTAGAAGTGGGTATCAATTCTATCACATTCATTGCGAGTCGTTTGATGAATTGGATACAGTCGCAAGTGGAAAATAGCTCAAATGATAATTTTAACGTGTAGTGAATATCTGAAGGAGAAGGATGAAGGTTGAAGATTCTTTGGGGGAAAACAAAATAGTATATAGCAGGAGTAATTCTTCAGTCAACCTATATGGCTTGTCTTGAAATGGGGATCAATTCTATCACATTCATTGTATGGCCTTTGATGAATTGGATGCAGTTGCAAGTGGAAAATTCCTCCAATGAAAATTTTAGAGGTAAAGTGAATAATAAAGTTAGAGATGAACGGAGGAGGGAGAAGATGTAAATAGTATTAAAGGTAGCCATTCTTTGGTCAAATTATATGGCTTGTCAAGAAATAGGGATCAATTCCATTTCACTCATTGTGTAGTCGTTTTAATAAATTTGATCTAGTCAGATACACTCACAAGTAGAAAATATCTCCAATAATAATGTAAAGGTACAGTGAAGGTAAAGGTTCATACAGAGGCCATCAGCTTTGCTTTTCATTTCTTGATACTTCAGATTATGAGTGAAGGGAAGCCCTCAAGATCTTTCCAAAATGCCTATAGGAATCCAATCCTTATCCTTATTCATATTCAATGTAGCACTTTTTCCTAGAAATTTGAAGCACTGCACACATTGCCCAATACATTAACCATTTAAAAAACAATATACTTTTTATTAAACATTTCAAAACTTCAAAAGTGATTATTTCCAAAATACAGAAATACCCCCCCCCCCCCCCCCAGGGATAGTGGAGATAAACAGGGATATGAAAGAAAGAAAAAAAAGAACTCTGAAACTAGTAGTTCTTGTTTTCATTCCCTACACAAG